CCCTTCTGGTTTCAGCAAAAATCCCTTTTTATAAAGACACATGAGCTGTCAGCATGGTCAGCTGGAATCTGTCCTTGTTTCTCTTTACCCCACTGCTCCATCTTCTCCCCCTCTTTGGTATGTGTGTGTGGGGGTGTTGCACTTGAGGCTTGTAACTGGGCTGTTTTGGTGTTCACACCCAAAACTGTGATCCAGAAACTTCCCAGTAGTTTTCACACACATTCCTTGTCCCGAATTTATTTGTCTATTTAAGAAGTAGCCACATAGTGTGTCCAAAAATGCATCTCCTGAGTTTACAGTCCTACTGACATTCCCTCTCTGAAGCTGGGTAGTCATCTCCACTATCACAGCAATCACTGCATCTTTTTGCTCTCTCCCTGGCATCAAGAACAGCATCAGGGATGTTGCTAAATTTCATACAGATGTGTTTTCCAATGGGGTCCATTGGTAGCTTATGCTGTTGCTCTGACAGAGACCTTTATAGCAGGAGAAATAAAGGGTCTAAAAATGATAAAGGTGTTATGTCCCAATTTCTGAGCACTGTGGCAACCCTACAGTTGCCTACCTGACCAAAAATCCCCAGGAAGTAGCAAAATTCTATTTGCCCCCATTTTAGAGATCTGGAATCAAGGCGCATTGCAAGATCAAGTAACTTGCCAAGCCATGGCAGATGTTCCCAGCCAGTAAAGAGGGCTCCCTTGATCCTAGAGAGCCTTGTTGCCACAGCATGATGCTTTTCTCACGTAGCATCCTGCACAGCTGAGGTGACACAGGATTTCCTGCACCAGTAACTTGGAAGTAATACATGGGGGCACACATTTCTGAGAGAAAAATTTCAGTTCTGTACTTTCCCCCTATTTAGCATGATGCAAAATAAACCTTCTTGTTGTTGTGGTTGTTTTAGTTGCGTGCAGCTTGCCATGGTGCTAAAGAGGCACGAACTTGTCAGGTTTGTGTGTGTGAGGGGGGACTGTGTGTAGCAAGGTGACTGCAGCTCTGAGTGCCTGCTCTAATCAGTGGGACAAGAATTCAAGTGCCTCCTGAACGCAGCAGTAGAAGGCTTTCTGCACAGCAGTGGAAATGGCTGCCACTTTTTTTGGAGGAAAGGAAGGGCACCCATTACAAAAAGCTTTCCCACCAGTCTGCTACCTTGGGTACTCCTCAGAACTGCAGGAAGTGAAAACACCACTTTTGAACTGTCAACCTTCGGAGGAGAGGTCACCTGGGTTTCACCTGATCAGTTTGGAGGATCTCTCCAACTTTGCAATGAAATTGGAAAAAACAAAAAAGAAAGGGTGGGAGTGCAGCCACTGACGGTTTGCAGTGAATGCTGCAAGCAAACATGCAGCTGGGCTGACAGTTATCATTCATATAGCTCTTTAATTGCTGAAATTGTCTCTGGTATAGTGCAACTCCTCAGCTCAGGACTGCAGGTAAAAATAAGACCTATGTGAAGGACAGGTGGTGCTATAAACTATTTTTCTGTGACAAAAATGGCACTTTCTGTAAATAAAATAAAATAAAAAAAAAACCCAAAAAAACCCCAAAAACTTGAGAAGTGTAAACTTATCTTAGGAATCTTCCAGTTCATCCTTCCCAAAAAACCCCCCACAAACAAACAAAAAAAAAACAAAAAAAAACCCCACAAAAAACGACAACCAACCAAAACCAAACAAACAAACAAAAAAAATTGAATACTGCATTGTTTATTATGGTAAAGTCTTTATATGGAAAGGTTTTACCTTAGGGTAATAAGCACTTAGCAGTGTATTAGCACTTTTTTCAAATCTCTTGAAGACTTAGTTTCCCCTGCAAACTAAAAATGCAACTCATCCCAGTATCTGGCTCAAGAATTATAGATGTTAATTTATTTTGGGCTAATAGGAGTTTTCTGTGACTTTTCTGCTGTTTGAATTGGATTTGAGATAAAAAGGAAGGCAGGGTTGTAGTTGGAAGAGAATATATTTTAGATCATTGGTTATCTCAGAAGGACAAGATGTAATTTATTTTAAAGCAGTTTTCAGAATTTAAAATGATCCATCAAAAGGCAGTAGAAGTTTAAATTTGCATAAAAAATCTGCAGGAGAAATTGATGGGAGTTCAGCCTAAAGGCAGAATGGCCTTGCTAAAACCCTAAGCAGATAAAACAGGAGGAAAAAAAATCCCATTTCAGAGATATATTCATACATTTAATGAGGTTACCCTGCACAAAGTCCACAGTATTTTATTGCAGAGAGTAGCTTGGAGCAATGAAAATAACATCCAAAGCCTCATTAGAAAGCCTTTACCATATGGCCAGTTTTGTCTTCTGTGCATCCTACACCAACTCACCACACTGTTACGTGTTTGTCTTACATGCTAAGATCTGTACATTCTGAAGAAGATTTCCAATTGATTTTTCAATACCATGAAGGATTTTTCAATACCTTTCCAAGTAATTGAGGGCTCCTACAGAGTTGCTGACTTATATCAACCACTGATAATGATTTGTTTTTAAGTAGAGAGCATTTATAATCTGGATTTTGTGAAGTAAACAGAAATATCTGCAGCAGCTGGGGTTCTAAAGACACTTATATAGACCATGTACACACATGAAAATGACTGATGGTTTCTATAGCTCAGCATACAATAGCCTGTTGATCTCTGCATTTTATGTGATGCCACATTATAGAAGCACCTCGTAACACCTCTGGAAATGAAGAGCTGTAACTGCCCAATTCTATGTAACCATAAACACTTAAAAAATTAGTTTAGTCAAAGATCACATGTACGAGAAAGACAATTTATCTGATTCCTAAATTTTCTTGCTGAAAGCTTTCTTTTATTCAGTCTGGGAAATTATAAAGAAAAGGCTGAACTTCTCCTCAACTGTACGTGACATCCCTTAATGCAAGTGCCAGGGTAATGTAATACTCTTTCCATGGTGAGAGCACCATCATGCCTCTGAGGAAGGATCTCAAATCACTTTTTAAGCCCCTGTACTACTGTGAGATATTTATGATACATGACAGTGACCTTCATTTTACAGAGGAGGAATCTGAGGTGCAGAACATTTAAAAATCTTGGGCAAGAAAACAAAATGAGGTGCTGGAGGAGGAAAGAACACAGAGTCATTGATTTTTCAGTCCTGTGCTTTAACAGCTAGAAAATGCTCCTCCTGAGACTAGGGAAGGAAAGAAAATAGGGAGGAAGTGGGAATAAAACTAGAGGTGTTGGATGTAAGAATTAAGAGTCATTGGCAGAATGGTGTATGACACGTAAGGGGAGATCACAGTAGCTTCCAGATGAAATACACCCACAGAGGGAGAGATGTGCAGCCTGGCAGGGTAAGCTCTCAAATGAAGTGTCAGCCATTACATGGAAATGTGGATTTGAGATCTATCCGTTTGGACATCTCCAGACAATTTATACCCATGACCAGGTAATTCTGGCTGCTGCTCAGTATCTGATCAGCTGAAGAAATCTTTACAAGCAAGTGTGAATGATGGCACTGCAGAACAGAGATGGGGCAGAACTGAATGTGCTGGGGAGGCAGCCCCATACATCTTGGCTATCCCACTGCCTTCATTTAAGAGTACAAAATCATCAATCAAAGCTGATCCTATGGAAGATACCTCTAAAGGAGAATCAGGGAGCTCAACTACTGTTACCTGAAAACTCATTTAAAAATACGTATTTCTTAACCAAAAGCCCTTGCTCACAGGGCAAGGTTTCCAATATATTCAGCACTGGCCCCAAACAGCTTCTTCAGGAACTAGCAACAAGAATGTTTTCAATTCAGTGGGAGTACAATTCATCCAAAATTGTGCCTTTTGGATAATCCCACAGAGATTATTTTTTGTCAAATTTTCTTCTTAGTTTTTAACAAGTCACATCCTTCAAACACAGAAAATATTGATTTAATTTCTTCACTTACACACAGAAATATTTCAATGGAAAGTGCAATCCAGCACCATTCTGTTCTTTTGTGTACTCTTTTATAAAAAAAAAAAAAAAAGGTGGCTTCAATATTCTTTTGGTAAAAAACAGTTCTTCTATCACACATGGGTGATCTGTGTGAGGATGAAGTTACAAATCACTGTTTGTCACAAAATCAGGCCATGCAAAATTTCATTTGGAAAATGTGCCACACAGAGTTGGGTACTGCATGTGAGATTTAAAACACAAATGAAACAAAATAAGAATTCCCAAACAGGAGAGGTTATAAAATTGGATAGCCAAAATACATCCTATTTGAAAGCCAGCCATACTGTTTGGATTAAGTTGGCATGTTTAAAGATATGCGGTCCCGATGGATCATTCTCTCTTTACAGTCAGATCTCTTTACAGCTATGGTCTGAACACTTTGTAACAGCTGGATTTGTCAGGCTTTGGAAAAGTTACTACTCAGGCCACAGACTGAGTGGGCTCATTTGGGTGTCCATGTTATAAGGTGCTAAAATTAGAAATGCCCATGCTTTAGGTCAGGTATCTATTGAAACACTTTATTACCATTCCCTTGGAATATGGAAGTTGAAAGCAGGCAGCCTTGTGGCAGAGAGAGAAATAAAGACAACTGCAAAACTCTGTTGTTTTTATTTTAAACATGCAAAATACAGTTCATGCATCTGCCATTTTGAAAAATCTCTCAGTTCATAGCAGATTAAACCAAAGACATTTTGGCTATCGACTCTCAATAAATATTTCAAAATGCTTTACAGTGTAAATATAAGAAATTTAGCAAAATTTCAACAAACCTGTATAAAAACCAGATACAGATAACTTTTTATTTCAAGGCAACATGCTGTAATGTAAAGAATTCACCTTTTTTTTTCTGGATTTTTTTTCTCATAAAAAGGTTTCAACAATACAACCGCTTGACAGATTTAAGCCTTTAGGCTACACATGCAAAAAAAAAAAAAATTAGTTAAAAATCACCAAAACGTGCTATTTTTTTTTTTTGTTGTTTGTTTCATTTTTTAAATACAGTAGTTGTAGACAGTAGCATTTTTCTTTTTTAATTTTGTAAAAGAGTGCAGGCAGGTTCATGGAGCTAGTGTCCTGGAAGACTCGTACTCTGACATACATTTTGGTTTTATCCCTTTGCCATTGTAATAGTCCACGACTTGGTTTGGAACTTCAGCCAAAACGCTTTTTGCTAGAGCAGCTGGGGATGCCTGCAGGAAATGGTAGAAAACACAAGCATTAACCTGGCTAGAAGTGCCGTGGGTTTCAGAGCCATTGGTGCCATGAGATCAAGGGAGGAAGTATGGTACAGAGATGGAAAGCAAAAAAGACTTAAAGTGAATCACACTATTGCTGAAAACTCATTTTATGAGTCAGTTATGGAGCTGTAGCTGCCTCAAAGTACACTAAGCCAAAAATGCTCTGTGTGATTCCAGGTCCATTTGGACAATTTTAAGTTCAGGGTAACTGAACTTCCCTGCACTCTGGGAGGGCACCATATCACAATAAAAAGCTGCAAAGACTTCATTCATCAGTGTTCAGCAAGGAACCCCGCAGAGCTCCAAGCTGAACATGAATGGACAACACTGTGAAAGGCGGGCCTTCATCACCATTCTGTTCCTCAGAATCTGGCATGGGGTTTTAATGGCTGGGAAAGTTTTTAATTCAATAAAAAATACTTTGTGTTTATTGGAATTAAGCCATGGTTACAAGAAAGTTTCAGTCCTAGGCTTGGTGGAGACTTTAAAGCTCTTCCTGCAATGTAAAAATGGCAGGTGTCCACCAGACTGAGAACTGATGACCCTGAAAGGTAGGGACAGATACAGAGATGGCCACTGGCTTTCACCCCAGGCAGGGAGGAAGGCTCCCCCTCAGTGCAGGGAGAAACCCTGCCCTCCATCAGCCACACAGAATTGCTGCCTCACACCCTGAAATGCTTTATTTTAAGCAGAGGGGGCTGTGGATGTTTTGTGGGCAACCATTACCTGTGTGTGCTGCATGAACATTCCTCAGTCCCTGAAGTCAGCAGTGACAAAGCTGGACTCATTCTCCCATGCACCCTCTTGCCCCATGTTTTGGATTTTCTTGTTTCTAAGTGTTTGGGTAGAGCTGGTTCCACGTCCTCAGGAGCCAGCCTTCTTGGCCATGTTTCCTTTTAGCCCACCACAAAAAATGCAGTAAAAATGCAAACACTTAAATGTCATTTTGAGAGGTTTAAATTGATGTATTTATGTCCAGAAAGCGCAGACTGCATCTCAGACAATGCATGGGAGCTCAGCCAGTGGCTGGATCACATTTCTTCTGCACACCAAGCACTTTTTCCCAAATTAATGAACGCTTTTTTCCTCACTCTCTGTAGTGTTATCAACCAAGTTGCAAAACTACCATGTCACAAAGTGGTTGTATTGACTATTTTTTGACCTACTCTGTTTCATGGGGTGGCATCCTTATCCTTACAGAGTCTTAAAATTTGGCTTACATAGCATGCAAAAAGTAATCTATTTGTAGGCACACTAATCCAAAGGTGAAGAAAACTCCAGACTATTAGAAATTTCAGTATCAAATGTTATAATACTGCAAATACAAAGATAATGCTGGCAAAATCAGAAACAGTTGGGTTTTTTTTTTCCCCTGTATTGTTGTATTTTGACTCATGTATGGGATTAGTAACAAATAAACTTAACTGCTGTGACATTTATATCAAAATATGTGTGCAGCCAAAAAAGCCTGGAACATTTCTGTATGAGCAAACTGGCAAAGCATAGAGCATACTTTATGTGTCAGTGCAGCAAGTGTTCTAAGGTATTACACAGTAACAGAACCCATTCACTTTAATCCTGAAAAGGGAAATGCATTGTTTTCCAGAGCTGCCCAATTCTTGCCTAAACCTGTTTTATAGAATCATGAAATGATTTGGGTTTGAAGGAACCTTAAAGTTCATATAGTTCCAACTAAAATAATCAGAAAATACCCCTTGGAATCACACAAATGGCTGATTTCTACTATAGTATTGAAAATTACTGTTTTTTAAAATCTCCTTCCCAGTGTGTCAAAGCTGTACATACCTTAGCCTGCCTCTGTGCTATCTTACTAAAAATACAACCCTACACAGAGGTAAAAAACTGGGAGTGGGGGAAGAGCCCTGAGCCAGTGCTGTAGCAATCTGGAAACTTTGCTCTGTCTTTAAAATGCTGGGCAGGAGCATTGCCATCAACTTCTCTGGATCTGTGCAGTTCACATGTTCTGAACTTTAGGCCAATGACAATCACTGCTGTGCATCATCCTCCCTCCGCCACTTCTCTCTTCTGATGCCACATCCATTCCTCCTGAAGGAAGGGTCAGCCCTTCAGAACAGGCTCTGTCAGGGCTCAGATGCACAGCTGAATCACTGCCACTTCAGGAGCTCTCAACTGAAAAGCCTTTTATTGAGGTTTAGGCAAAAACATTTACTGTGCCCACAGGCTCACAGGCAATATGTGCCCCACACAGGATTGCCCTGGGGTAACTGGCTTGAGCCGTACTTCAGTCTGAGCATGGGCAACTGTTGCATAACTGAGTTTCATCATGCCAGTGATGTCTCTTGGTCCTGGGGCTCTTTCTAGCAGGGAACATCCTAAAAACAGGCTTGGGGTTGGCTTCCTCTCTGATGATTTGGACCACCTGTACCTTACATAATTTTTGTGGTGGTAAAGCACTCTCATTTGCAGATCAGATGGTGCAAAGCAGCATTTTCATCAGTGAGGCTTACACTCAGTAACTTCTAAGCCAAAACACAGACCCATTTCATCAGTGTTGTGAAAAGATTGCCTTTGCTGGATCTTTACCACAGATGGGACATTAAATTAATATTTTACTGTAACATTTTCTCCACTGCTTGAAGAGCATTCTAGCAATAAGCACCTCAGATGAATAGTTATCAATTGATAGCTGATAAACAACAGTGAGATCAGTCAGCAGCAGGAAAATAATCCCCTGTGATTCCATAATTGGTGTTGGTTCAGTTCTTTAGCTTCACAATGCTTCACCTTTAACTACAATACATAGTGCAAAACATTGCTCCTTGCAGTGATTATGAGCTGTGCTATCCACTCTCCTTTGTGATGTATGTTATTAAATCACAGCTGTTAACCTTTGTGATTAAATAAAATGAAGAATGGAATACAATCTACCTGTGGCATCAGATTTGTGCCCAGTAAATATATCATACATCCCAAAGGCAGAAAATTTCATTTCTTAAAATAGGACTGTGAATGCATTGAGGCAGGTGATTTTCTTCAGTGGCGTTTCAGTGACGGAACATCACTGTTTTGTAGTTTCAGGTGAAGGACACTCACATTACTGGGGTGGTGATGATTACAGAGAGAAAAAAGTCACGTGGGTTCAGGGAAAATCTGTTTCCTTTGTTTGATATGTTCCCCTTTAGTGAATGGCATATGTCACCCACTATACAATGGGACATGTTTTAAGTGTTAATGGTTACCTTGATTTTATCAAGCCTCTACAACTATAGGATTTGCCAAGAGTCACTACAGTTGCTATTATTATTTTGATGGCTTCAAAGATACTCCATAAAGAGAGAGAGAAAGAGCTTAGATGTTTTACTGAAGTACTTCTGCTGCACTGTATCACATAGGAGATGAAACCCCTATAATAGAGCCTGCTGTCTACACTGAGTCTTAAGCCAGTAAAACATTGATGTGGGTATAAGATTTTAGGTATGTGAATGACTAATTAAAATGTGTTAAATGCCTCTTTGAGTGCTGTGCAGGCTCAAAACCTTCTCTGAAGTTAAACTTATAAAATAAAAGGGATTCAGTCTATAGATTATTTTTACAACTTCCTTCTCCCCCCTTCCATTTCTCAAAGGGGAAGGTTTTGCACAGATTATTTTTGATCTCTTTGGATAGATATGAGATTTTGAGTTCCAAGCTGACCTGAGAATAGAAGTAATGAAAAAAAAATATTGCTTGGGTCGACTCCAAGGGAATTTTGGTTTACTCTTCCAGCAAAAAAAAAAAAAAAATGCTCACGCATAACATTTTCTTCTCTCCTTCTGTCATTAATAGATATATGGATTTAGGAATAAATAAATACTTGATTTATCAGAAAAACCTATAAACCTTATACAATTTGATTTTTAATCTTTCTAAAAAGACCTTTCAACTTTTTGTTTTTTCTACTTAATAAATTAACACAAGGTACATTGACAAAAGGAATGGGATTTTTACCTAAACATGTATTTTGCTTAAAGCTGTCAAAAATAATATGCTGATATATGTAAACTCTTGTGTTTGGTCAGAACTGATCTAACAAAAATCTCCCAAATGTGTTAAATCTGCATTTCCTCTGTGGGGAAAAATAAATTTGAATCAAAACATCACACTCATTTCTCCCATGAAAAATTATTTCACTAGCTGATGTATGGTCTTTTGTTAGTGCTAAATAAGCAAGGAAGATGTGAATGTCACTTTGTTGAGAGAGAGAGATTATTTGGGATATGACAATAAAGAAATTCAACCAGAAGTGACTATTGTTATGAGCAGTCATCCATTACACTGACATTTGCTGAAAAGCTGAAAGATGACAATAAACAGACTAAATATCAGGTTGCATAAGATATATTAACTTTTCTGATAGAGCAAATACAAATCTATCTCTATACCTATATTATCTTTGCTACTGAAAGAGGGAGAAAAATATCGCTATTTAACAAGAAGAATACATAAAGAATGCTTTCCTCTCCAAGTCCTGGGGAAGTTAATCTAAATCAGCTAAAAAGAATATATGCTTGTCATTTGACCAGTTCTGGCAATAACGATGCCACAGATTCAGTCACAAGTTAACACCAGGGGCACAATATATTTAGAGCCCAGAACTGCAACTGTCTGCGCTAATCTATTAAACCCAGGATGATTTTAGCTTTATAATAAAAACAAAGTGAAACTAAAAATAACAAATGTAGCTGGCTTTGCCAGTTCCTTGCAGAAACATGTTTTCACCTAATTAAAAGTAGCTCTCCCACTAGCCCATAAATAACTCAGCTCTGGACACTTTTCCAATGACTACAGTGCAGCGCTACACACCTTGCGATTATGTGCTGAAAGAATCACAAGCTCTGAGGTGGTTGTGCTCATACTTTGATTCAGCAGGTAGGTGGCTGTGTGCCCCTGTCAGCACAGAAATGTGAGTGTCTACAACTCAGTAGTCAATCTGCAGCTATGTGGCATGGTGGCACCAAACTAATAGCAAAAGGTGAGTTCTCCCTCCTGTGTGCATCCATGGCTTACATAAAGCTAGAATGAAACTAAGGAACAAGTTTGTTTCTCTTGCTCCTCAGTAGAGTTTGTGAAAGTAAGAAGTGTGATAGATCTAAGGCAAATATTGCAAAATAGTATTTTGAAATGAGAAAAAAAGAACAACCCTTGCAAAGAGCAAAATTAAGGCATTTTGGAAGTAGCAAACAGAAAAAAAAAGCTCATGTAGTGACAAAAATCCCAGAAAAACCAAAAGAGAAGCTAAATTTAAAAAGAAATGTAAGCAGTGCAAACCCATATGCAGATCAAAACCAGCCCAGAGTTGAGAACTTGGCTGTGACATATCCAAATCTAAGGATCTCTAGTGTATGGGAGCAGATTGAAAAGAGCAATCTCATGTGGAGAATGACTCAGTTGCACTGTGAGGTAAAAAAAAAATCTCAAATCAAATACTGAGGATATCCTTCCTAGACAGAGCAAAAAACCAGTCTTGAGAACCAAATAAATGTAACAGAAGTGAGAGGAAAGAAGGGAGAGAAAGATGGAGAAAGCGAAGGAAAGGGATGGGAACAGGATTGCAGAGGAACATAATGCATGCCTCCATATGGAGGAAAAGGGCTCTGAAAAACCCCTCTGGGTGTGGGAAAGCCCCTTCTGCTGGTGAATGCTGTGCCTACCCTGTTGCTGAAAAGTCCCTGGAACAGATGGTACAGTGCAGGGCAGGAGACTGAGAAGAAAAGTTCATGACCAAAGCTTTACTTTAGATTTGGCAATTTAATGCTGGTTCTGCTCCTTTCTTTCCTAGAATGTCTTCTACACTACACTGGCCTCAGTCAGAAACAGCTGGCTGAGGGCACAGGGAAGCTCTCAGTAATGGCACTTTCTTGCCTGTGTTCTTGTACAGAATTTGGGAAAGGGTTTGGAGGTAACCAGGATGCTGTGGGTGGATTGTCCTGCATTTGAGAACTCAGGGATCAAACCTCAATAAAGAAAAAGCCTCCTGGGGAACACTGTGAGGACAAGTTCAAAGCCATTTCATCTGCCTAAAGAAATGAAGGAATGGAAAGCAGAATACAGTAGTTCTAATAGAACAGATGCAAAAGAGAATGGAAAACAGACACAATGAAAAATAAGGCAGGGAAAGTAACCAAATTAAATCAGGCAGAAAGTGGAAGCAAGGACTGGCACCACAAAAAGCACAGGGATTGTGCCTCATCTCTTCCTTTCCCACTCTCACCAACTCACTAATGGAGCATGTTCTGATTCCTTTCTTTTTCACTATTTCTGACACAATAATGCCATAGACTTACTCAACCCTTCATGCATATGCAAAGCTGAGCCCAGCCTCATGAATCATTCACTATACCCATTCACCCTTCTGTGGCAAGGATGGAAAAACCAGCTTACATGTTTGAAGTTCCTAAATGGCACAAACTGGACAATGTCTCGAAGCACTGGCTCGCCCTTGGGAGACCTCAGGATGCCGTCATCACCGTCCAGCATCTGCATGTCACTGAAGTCAGCGTTGCCCACCCCGACGATGATGACTGACATGGGGAGGTGGGAGGCGTGGACGATGGCCTCTCTGGTGTCAGCCATGTCTGTGATGACCCCGTCCGTCAGGATCAGCAGGATGAAGTATTGCTGAAGTTGTTGGACAAGAAGGGAAAAATTATGTCGTTAGTTAACAGTCCAAAGCTGCTTAACCTTTTAAGTTAAAAAGTATAAAAGTGTTTCTGGTAACTCCCTCATGGACCTTTTTAAAGAGAAAAGAGCCTTTTTATTGACTATATAGAATTTTCCATTCCAAACTCCTCAGCTACTAATTTCTCCTCTGCAGAGTAATGGGGTCTCTGAGGAGAGCAAGGCAGGAATATATCCATCTTCATACTCTTCATACAGAGCCCCAAAGAGAGGCTTTCTCATTCTTCAGAGGAGAGCAAGCAATTTGGTGAGCTTGTCATTTCTCTCCCAAATCTGCAAAGCCCACTGAACTGGGATCATGATGTGACTTGGTAATGGTGAAGAGTGGCCCTTACTTGAATCCATTATTAATTATTGGGCAGCTGAAGTAATTTATAAGAAATTTATAGTGCATTAATAGGAAAAATGAACAAATCATAGGATTTGGTCACTCTGCATGAGCAATACCAACACACTAAACATTAATAATATTTAGGTGCATACAGTGGTAAAAACTCAAAGTGTTCCAATCATCTTGTCCTGCCACAAATAAAACATGCAGGGAGAAAACTTAATCTTGAACATTCGTACTATAAATTGCTATTCAGATAGAAAGGGGAAAACTTAGGTATAGAATGAAGGAACTTAGTAAGGCATATTAGATCAGAAGCAGCACTGGGAATAGAGTGAGCCACCTCAGGATTAGGTGGGTATGGAAATTCAGACATAGCAATTCCCTATTTTAGGACTGGAACCCTAAATACTGTCAAGGTTCTGGAAACATCAGTGGAATCACAGAATCACAGAATGGTTTGGATAGGAAGGGACCTTAAAGATCATCTAGGCGGAACAGATGATGAAGCAGGGAGAAGTTCCACTAAACCAGGTTTCTCAAAGCTCCATCCAGTCTGTCCTTGAACATTTCCAGGGATGGGGTAACCTTAGCTTTTCCAGGCAACCTGTTCCAGTGCATCACCATTCTCACAGTAAAGAGTTTTTTCTAATATCTATTCTAAAGTTATCCTCTTTCAGTTTGAAGCCATTACCGTTCGTTCTGTCACTACATGCTCTTGTAAATACCAATCACAAGCCCAGACTCATGAACAGAAATATTTGATAACTGCTGCCCTAGAAGTGCTGACTTAAAAAAGGCCCAGCACATGAAGAAAGCTTAGAGAACGCTCTAGGCCAGGTGATCATGCTCATGCCAGTGCACAGCTCTATTCTGTTCGGTACTTAGGCACTTTTTGTGCTGCAGTACACAGTGTCTCTCTTACATCCCTTACTCCTTTACAGCACTGCTCTTCTAAATGGCTCAGACCTACTCGCTCACATACTTTCTCTTGTTCTCCCTTTCTCCCATTCTGTATTGAAGACAGGATCAAAATAAACTTAATGCATCTCAAGAGTGTACATTTAAAACATGATCAATATGTAAGTCTTTTATCTCGAGAAATCTGCCCTAGTGTTTTTATCAGGTGCAGGATAACAGATTTGTCTTCCAATTTCTAAAAGGCACAAATTACTTGATCAGTAATAACAAGCTGAAAACTGTATCCTTACCATTTTCAAATGAATTGTTGGAAAAGTTCCCTAGGTGAACAGAAAAATTTTAGTACAGCCTCTGCAGGAGATATGAAATTGGATAGTCTGAACTAGGAATCATTTGAACTCATCTCTTGGTACAACCAAGACTTTTAGGGCTTCAATGCTCAATTTTTGTAACCTTAGTAGTGCCATTTCTATTTCCACAGTGAAGAACTGGGTGTGCTACAGTGAAACAGCCCTAAAAGCAGGAAATAGATCAGTGGGAAAAGAGTTTAAAGCTGTGACAATCAAAGCTAGAAAGACTGGATACACTGTTCCACCTGACAGAGGTTTAAGCTGCCTTCAGTGAAGGCAGTTAATAAAAACTGGGAAGGTGCAATCTGCATTAAAAGGCCTTGATGGCCTACAAGAGATCCATCATCAGACAAGGAAAAAAGGGCAAACACAGATTTTTTTTCCCTTACCGAGGCCTCCTTGGTGTTGGTCTCCTCTGATGCAGATTTTGCCACTTTCTGGATGATGGGAGCAATGTTTGTCGGTCCGTACAGCTGCAGCTTGGGAAGGCAACTCTGATAAGCTTCCACAACACCTTGTATTCCTGGCATGAAAAACCAAAAAAAGAAAAAGAAATGTGGAGCACATTGCCTATATCAGGCTTGTTCAAAATGTAAATGAAAGGTGGCTTCTTAATGAACAAATTAAAAATACTACATGATAAGCAAGGACTAGAATCTTAAGATAATTTCCAGGAATCCATCTCTAGCTGTCTTAAATCTAGTTTGTAATATATAATTATTATACCATGCTTCTCCTTTACAGCAGCTTTTAATGTCTATTTTTCATGTATGAGCTTGCAATGCCACAGCTTCCATTCTTCTCAGTTTAAGATATGATAGCTTCCTGATCAACAACTAAGATTCATGATCAAAGTCTAAACACACATTAAGAAACACTTAAACAATTCTTTCTCCTCTTCAGATAAATATTTTTGTTTATCATGGCTGTTGCCAACAAACTTGTCCTTTGTACTTATGCCCTAAAGCTGTTAAGGAATTCAAAACATCTTTTCACTCTCCTGTGCTAAGAAAATAATTTTTCAGGGTTAATTTGCATAATCACTCATAGGTTGAATTTGACTATGACCAAAAGCTGTGAAACCTTGAAAGAAACAGCAGGATGCTTTGCAGCCTACAGAAAAATGAGCTTCAGCTGAGAAATTTTGATGGAGAACTAGCTATTTTTGGCTTTTTCATTTCAGGATATATAGTGAGACCAGGGAGCAAAGACTTCTTTGCTGACACACTTGACAGATCACAGAATGGAAATTGGTATTTTCAATCATTGAGAAGAAGGATTTCTTGAAGTGATGCACATTAGCCTCCCCATTCAGAACTCCCAGCTTACCAGACCTAAAGGATTAGAGGTCTAATGTTGGAAAGAAAGTGATAGACTGAAAAGCTTTGCAAAGGATGCTGAAGACTGAAATAGCTTTGGTAAGATCCTAAGCCAGTTTCAGTTTGCAGGGAAACTCGCTCACTCATGAGATTTTTTTTACCCAACCATATTTACAGGATAGATGGGTGCAGAGTTTTTGCTAACAAATGACAGGGAGTTGTAACTGTTTTATAACGACACACATACACTCCTATGAAAAAGTGGTGGAGAACACAGTTTTCTCTCTTTAGAGACAGCTACAGATATATTTTTCCATTGCAGTGCCAACAGACAAAAGTACTTGCTCCAATTATAGCTGCATTGGCTGAAATGTAAAGTAGTGTTACAAAATGTCCCTTGGTAATTCCAATGACTAAATTGCATATTGCAAAACTGACCTTTTGGTAACTCCCAATTTTAAACTTGCTAAGGATTTCATTACATATACTTAATGATGTTGCATGAAGGCCTCATAAATCTTTCCTAAGATGATGACAAGATACACCATACTTTTCTTCTTATGCAGTATAATAATGTAAGATAAAACTTACTCCCTGCATTCCACAGAGATTTAGTGTTGTTCATGTCAGAAAGTTGCTCTCATCTTAGAAAGAGACACATTCTAGAAATATAATTTCTTATTTGATTTCTCAGATTGATATATTTTAGAAATATCTACTGTCTATCCAATCCCAACTCAACAGAATATGTGAGGATTACTTTGTAGCTTGATGTCCTTGTACTCCTTTATTTTAGGCATGTGTGCATTTTTTTTCACAGTTCAACTCTTTACATTTTTATTTGGAATCCACTTTCAGCATCTCCAATGAAATACAGTGTATGCATACATATATGGGTTTAAGATAGATGTGCAGAAACATTCATTCAGACTAGAGGTTTTTGCCTACTTTCTTCCTCAGATAATAAACTAAGTATTAATTTTAAGACTATAAAAATAATATACTACAAATATACAAAATATAATACTATAAATACTATAATTTTCAAGAACGGAAATGGTAACATGTGAGGATATCCATATTTTATGAATTCCAGCGCTCTGCATATCAATATCTTGTCTGTATGTAGAGTGATGCTTCACACTACCTTGTGCCAGGAAAAGCTCTGCTTCCACAGAGAAAAGGATTTCATTCCTCAAAGGGAAAATAAACACACACATTTTTATATCACATCCAACCGCTGTTTCTTTGTTTAAAACAAGATATTCTTAAGCAACTTTATTTTCTGGCAAGTATGCTAGATATTACAAGGTAAAATAGTGTAATCACTAAGCACTTTATCTCCTTACTCTTGCATCCTGTCTCCACATGACTTGCTGATGTTAGTGTTCCCTGTGACACCTAATACAGTGAGAGCATCTAGAAAACATCACAGAACTAACAAGCACCCTGACAGGCAGATGAACAAGCTGCAGCAGAGGAATAAACAACACATTTTGTGGTTTGTCTCCCCTTCTTGCTTTCACCCAGGTTGATATTATTTAAAAAGGTATCCTTTTAGATAAATAAGTGCTTTTAATATCCTGCAGATACAGGTGCAAATGCTGCAAAATTTCTTCTCCGGTATTCTTTCATGTTGCAACAACTTTTTTATGTTTTCTTAGGCCTAGAACTCCTTTCAGCCAATGGGCTAACTCAGCAGATAACTGAGTCTTATGCAAAGATACAAATAAAGTTTAAATTATTAAGTGACATAAGCAAAGCCTCATAGAGCAGCTGCTTCCTGTTTTTTTTTACCCCCTTTCATTTCCATTGTTGCATTTAGTTTTGCACACAGAGTGTGGTTTGGATAGTAAATCCCTTGCTTACAGAGGGTTTGTCTGTCCAGACTGTGCTGCTGGCACCACCTAGATCTGGCAGCCTTTTCAGTCAATAAAAATCATTATATAACAATGGCAGTGTGATAAAAGAATTAGCCTTTAATTCAAAAGAAGAAGCAAGGGCGGGGGATAAAAATAAGTGTTCTTTGCATGGACTGCTAGAGCTTTTCTCTGTAGTTTACAAAGGGTCACAAATATCCTGCAGTCAGATTGAGAAACAAGCTCTTTTTGAACACTACACACGTAAATATGTTATCACCTAATGCTGACCACTGTTAACTGTTTTAATGACACATTATTAAATACGATGGTCCAGATGGAATGCTGATGTTTCTTTTGCTTCCCCACTCCATCCCCACACTGAAGTCTCAACATCAAGCTGGCTTACAAGCTTACAGGCACTTCTAGATGCAGACATGTAACTTCTGCTCCTTTCAACTCCTTAAAAGCACTGTAAAGAGCCGTGTGAGCACATCAGGCAGCTGCAGAACTTATGCCCAATTGCATTTCAAGCACATGACCTGCAAAGGCTGGGGCAATCCAACAATTCAAGTGCAACAACAAAGCAGGAATGACCACTGAACCAAAACCAGGTCTTGCATTTAAGATGCATGAACTCTGAATTCTTTTAATGTCTCTCTCCCTTGAATTGCTTGTCCTCTCTTCTTTTCCTCACTTCATTTCTCTACATCTTAGTTCTCATCCTGAACATGTTTGCTGCCCATGCCCAAAAGAAAGCCACTAATAAGCCTGAGAAGGGCTGAAAGGAGCAGCTAGAAAATTTGAACAGGAAGAGCATTTTGAAATATCCAGTTCATTATTTGGATGGAAGCAGAAGGATAAGGGGGAATAACAACCTGTCGATTTTAGATAGCAGTGATCACTTGAGCAAGACTCTTAACTGTTACTGGGTTTAGAGGTCATTTTCCTGTTATTGTCTTTTACAAAATGTGTGAATTGTGGTAGGAGATTTTAAAAAGACAGCATTAGTCACTGCAGATCTCATTTGCAAATACAAGACATAGAGCAACATCTGCTACATAAATCTGGCCTCTGATTACCAAGGATTAATGACTATTGGTAGAACACAGCAATATCTTACACTGTAGCCTCCTGCTGCATTTGCTCTCAGGGAAATAGGTTTCTTTCTACCACAATAGTCATCAGCTGCTTCCCTGCCCTTGACTTGCAGCAGGCTATAGGTCTGGTCGAAGAACTGGCTCTAAATTGAGGAAATTTTTTGTTCACAGAGGTTCACAGCCTGCTTTTTCATATCCTTCTTTGCAGCACAACCTATGATGCTGAGGCAGCTGAAGATTTTAAATTAGTCTACTTCTCAGAAATGCAAGTGATTCCAGGAAGTCCAAGTGCTGAATGTCCATCTACTAATAATTCAGGAAATTATTGTATGGCACTTTCGAAGATTTCTAAAGTTAAGATCAATGGTCTGGTGCTTGTCAGGTCCCCAAATCCTAGCTGCCCTCTTTAATAAAACCACTTTGAATAATACTCAGGTGATGCAATAAAAAAATGCGCATTTTGCACAGAGCAAAACTATGGCAGTCTGTCCTTCTGTGAGCATTACCTGCACATTCTGGGTTGTCTTCATTGAAATTGATTGCAAAGTCATGAGAGACCTGCAGATAAATGGAAAGAAAAGAAGACTGTTGTCAGAAAAATTATTCCAAGAAGACTTGTGGTTAAACACTCTTGACATTTTTTCTGTGGTAAACTGGAGACCTTTCAAGCTTTCAGCTGTTAAGTGTGAAATACAGTCCCAGCTGGAGCTCCCTGCAGAACCAAAGTAGCAAAACTGGAATCAAACTGGTCAATAACAACAGCAACAAAACAAAACAAAGCAAAAAAAGGCATGAAGAAAACCCACCCAAATACATTTAAAAATCATATAAACATGGTGTCAGGATTGGGCTATCAATGCCAGCTCTCCCTAGCTCAGCATCTCAGACTGCAGGAGAGAGAAAGCAGGTTGTGATACAGCAGTGACTGCAGAAACTCAGCTCATTTATGCATCCTGACCTCACTGTGTGAACAGTTCCTCATCTAAGGCCAAGGAGTACTGGGAAAGTAATTTTACAGAGAAATCAAGGATCCACTGTACAATATTAGTGTAAAAAGTGTAAAGAGTCTAAGTTGGTTAAAATGTTAAGAGTATTCTGGGGGGTAATAAATAAAAAAATCCTGAAGACTCTTGGTTTTCCTTGCATGTGGTGAATATTCCAATCTCTCTCTCTCTCTCTGTCTGTTTCTCAATCTATCATTAAATCCGGCATAGCTGTTTTTTAAAAGAATTTACCGTGAATACAACAAAGTAGCTGATTTTCTAACAAAACAAAGTATCTTGTCTTTGGTGCCCTGGGAAAATAATATAAGACTTTTGTATTCTTAAATAATGCTAGACACTGTAAATCTCCAGTTCCAGAATTCCTCTTTAAGGTTGATTCTTGCCTGCATTTTTTTTTTTTTTCATATTCCTTTTTACTTCTTTCTTTGATCATTGAAAAGTGTTGATTCCTTTTAATCCCTTGGGTCTGAAGCCTAGCCTCTTAATTCTGTTTGTCTTAATTTTTCTTGAATGAAAAAGCTCAGATTTTGTCTCACAATGCATAATGTGTGAATATACATATATGTTTATATATATATCTCTCTCTACATGTATATGCATATGTGTGTGTGTGTATCTATATATATATTTGACTTGCAAAAAGTGGCTGAGAGTTTAGCAGGTAATTTGCATAATTTAAAGTTGAATTTAGGTGTATCATCCCAGATTTAAGAAGGCATTTATGTAACTGCAATTACACACATTTAAAGCTTTATAGATCTCTGTAGGGTCTTCAAAAGTGCCAACAGTCCCAGTGATATGGAAAGCAACCTCTAGTACAATGGAACCAGGATTATTTGCAGGAAGAGATTTATTTTCTGGATGCTGCTGTTTGGTTTGCTAGTTTAGATGTCTCCACAGCAGGCTATGGAAATTGGTTTATGACTAAGGGACCCACAGATGAAATATGTGACTGCAGAGAAGCTTCTGTGAAAGTGAAGTGGTGTAAGTTGGTTAATTACTGCCAAAGAGAGTTCTTCTTAGAGAAGTGGAATTTCCCCATCACATGCTAGTCTTGCTTACCACAATGATGCCTGCCATTATTAAGAGGTTAAATAAAGCAGTACTTCTACCATGATGGGAAAGGACTAAGCAAAACCTCACTGGGAAGTCTGCAGTTGCCTCAGCCCAGCCAGGCATTCAGCATGCCTACATCAAGCATCAGTCTTACTGAGGGTTTTACATGGTCTATTCAGTACATTCTACTTGGCCATGGAAGATAATGCAGGAAGTCACTATTTATGTTCCTCACTGAGCAGCACAGAAGATCAGGGCTGCCAGACACACTTCAGAGGTGCTCCAGAGCCCTTCTGCCTGGATGCTCTGGATGTCTCTCAGTGCACTTTGCCCAGCTGGTATCTGCCAGTCTCATGACCAGCTGCAGGCCAAAGGTAACTGCATCTGTCAAGAACTGTTATGGGAGTTTTCTCATTGATATTTTTTGTTGTTGTTCATTACCCTTTCTCTTTCCTTTAGGGTTTCTGTATTTTGCATTAACTGTGTTAGAAAAGCAAGAAGGATGGCAATGCATGCTTATGTATTGCAGACTGATTCTTCCAACACTGTGCCTCTTCAATGATTTTATTTCTTTATTCCAAATGCATTTGAAAATATACCTAAAGGAAAATACAAGTATTTTCAAAAGCTATGAATACAGTATTTCAATCTCACATGCAAGCATGGTTGGGTTGCTTTTGTTGCCATACCTCTTATCACATAATGCAAACAATTTATCTGGTTCAGAGCTATGGCACCCAGGCTATTATTTAACAGACAACAGTTCAGGCCAATAAGGAAAGCCCAAGTCTAGTCAGCCTGCACAATTATCCAAAAAATAATACTGTCTGAGCATCAGCTGCTATCCTCCTAAAGCAAATAGCCCTCATACATTGTCATCCTGATTCACAGAGCAGTGTTAAAATGTACCCTGAAGGCAGCACAGGAAACACAATCAATGTGCAGAAGCATTGGCCTGTTTCCTATGCTCTTTGAGTAATATATCACAATTTAAACAAGATTTAAGTATAATGTGAAGGAGAGAAATTTTTTGAGCAGCTCAGTGATGGTTCACAAACAGGAAATCACCACTCGAGGCAAGGCAACAGCATATATGTTTTAAACAGAGCTTCTCCAAATGCTCAGAACTCATCTCCCACTCTGTTAAGCAAAGCCAAGTGTGCTTCAACCTGCCCCTTTGCTGTCTTCCCTGTGGTGGCCAGAACTCAAGAGTGTCCAAACCAGCAGAGACTTCAGACTTATACCACATACTGAAGGCCTTCCTAAATTTGGGCTGCTACCTGGTAGGACTCCATGTAAAGCTCATCCATGTCAAAAGGTGGTTTGGATGAGACATTCAATGCTTTTGCTTTCCAAACAGTGCAAGGTGATGAGTTTCCCTCCTTTTTTTCTTTTTTTCCTTTTTTTTCCTTTTTCTAATTAAACATGCAGGGGCTTTGTGACTGAAGGGCAAACCATGCTGATGACAGAGAACCAAAAGCTGGTATATTCAATGGCATCTTTCTCATATTGAATGACACAGCCCTTGAATGACACTCCCAGAGCTAATAAACTAATGACAAAAAGGAGGCAAAAGTTTGAACACCTAAGATGCTGAAGACTGAGAAATCCTCAGGGGAAACAAGAAGACCCTTGGCTGTTCAGAAGCAGGCATGTTTATATAATTTACCAGGGTAGTTTGTATTGTGGATTGATCGAACAGTCAGGAAATCCTGGAATGTGTCAAGTCACACAAATACAGAATGGCTGCTTTACATCAGTACCTGGCACAGAGACCTTTGCCAAGAACTGCAGAGCACGGCCTTTGGTGGAATTTTTTTAATGAGCAATGTCCTCATAAAACCCTGAGTGTTTTGTGACTGGACTAAGTTTTTGTAACCCTGTACTAAGTTTCAGATATGAAGCTGACCCTCTGCTCAGCCCTCCTCTCTTAACATCAATCCATAAAAGGGAAGGAGAGAGAAATGCTGGCATGCTGAGGTGATTACATGGGATCAGCCTGGTGTTACTTGGGCTGCTGCACAGAACTGCACTCAAAGCCTGCAGCTAAAGACATTCACTTGCACTTGCATGAATCTTTTGCCTCTGCAGGACTCCAGATTCATTCTTTAGCAGATACCATCATGGATGTGGCATTATCAAACTACAGGAACTTCCTACACCAGGAGCACACTATTTCACAGGTAATTCCTTCAAGGCTTTTAACAAGCAAATTAACTAGCTCTACCATACATTATGATATAGATTACAGTGACAGCATTTCTGAGGATATGACAATTAAATAAGCAGTACAGAATAGTTTTGCTAAGATAGGTTATAGAACTATTGTTTTTTACCATTGTACAACGCCTCCTCCCCTGTCTGTACATATACAGTGACATACACCTGCAGTTTTCCATCAATGTGATGGCACCCATGAGACTCTTGGAAGAATCAAAATGATACTTCCACATGCTTATGGCCACTTTTGTAGAAAAAAATGGCATTTATTTAACACAGCAGGTAACTTATTTTCCTCATATTGGGATGCGATAAAATTCATCCTCATAGCATGGCCCTTGCTAAAAACATTTCTAATTTAGGCTGAAAGGAAAGGAGAATTTCCTAGTTGATGAGAATTTTTGAGATTTCTTAAAAAAAATATTCTATGAATTCAGATAGAAACCTCAAATCACAAACAAAAATCCTACCTTGAAATCTGAAAAATAATAAATCCCCCAACATTGATAAAGCAAATTGCTGGAAAGCTTTTATATTGTGCAAAGGTATTTTATTTAAGTTTCATTGAAACTTGTTATTCTAGTTTGGCCTATACATTCCTTAAACCCCTTTAACTGAATTTCCATTTCGAAAAAAAAGAAGCTATGGTTTTTATTTTCAAATTATGAATATGGATGCCTGAGTTCTGAAAATTAATAATAAGTTTTCCCCCTCTTTAAATTGTTGAATTAATTGAAATTAACCTTCATGTCCCAAACAGCTCCAGCTTTTCTCTGTGGTGATGGTACTAGAAGTATTTGACAAACAATCTGACAAATTTTAGGATTTTTAGGAATGTTTTCTTAATAATTTAAATAGAGATTGTCAAAAATCCATGAACAATAGATGCATACAAGTGTAAATGCCAAAATGCACTATGTTGGACACTTATCTGCGAATAAATTGAATGCTATTAAGCTACTGTCATTCAGAAAACTGAATATGAAATGCCTGCATATTTTGCAAAAGCTTAAGACACTAATGAATTTCAAGTACTTTTGGTCAAAAGCTATTATTTTCAGAATGCTCATTAATCAAATAGCTTGGGAGCTGGAAAGCTTGTGTTTCTTGCTAAGATACATTGTACATATTTCTGCTTGGCAAAGCTGGGCCATTTATTTCCCTTTATACTTCATTTTTGTACATGCTGCCCAAGTTTCCGTGTCTGAATCCAGCTTGCATGGATAAAGAGACTAATTCTGTTTTGTCCCTTAGTCTGCTACAAATCCTTTGTTTTTTTTTTTTTTTTGGTCAGGTTTGCATATATTTTAGGCATCTATCTCCTGAAAAGTGCAGGAATCATAAAAACCACAGCACTTCTCAAATCTCTCACCTGACCTACAAACCAGCGCAGGTTAGGGCTGTAAAGATGCTGCCCTGTGTCTGTAACTGCAGTGAGTTTGTCTCCAGCACACATTCACAGCAAAAGCAGGGAATGAAGCTTTCACTGAAAATACAGAAATAACCTGGACTCTCTTAAAACAAACTGCAAGTTGTTTAGTACCTATTGGGCGTCAGCTGCAATTCTCCTTTAGGAAACAGGCCTTCATTAATGGCAATCCACCTGTCATGGGGCTGACACTATTTGAACTTGCTTTTCATGTTAACAGTAAGTTTTGTGCTGCTGTGTGGTTTTTCATCTCCTTTGAGTCCTGCCTGCTAAGTGTGTGTGGTTTGCTTTCTTTCCTCCTCTTCACTGTGACCTTTCACAGCTGTGTCTGAGTCCATATTATCTACCACCTCTTCATTTTACATCAGACTTCTCAGATGCTTCCTTTCATTGCAAAAAAAAAAAAAAAAAAGAACCACAAGAAAAAAAATTCTGGAAGTTTTGTATGATAGATACTCACAAGGGAAATATTTCTCTCAGAGGTTTACTTAGATCAAGGAACAGGGTGATGTGTTTGTCAGGTCTTGGTGGAAGAAGCTCATATTGTTGAATATTAGATGAAAGATCTCTAGACTGATGAAGAATGATGTATATGGCATGTCTTGCTTCCTTCACTTTCACAGATTCCTTGTGCCACTAAGAAACTGCTGGTTTTCTACTAACTGCTGAAGTGTGTCATTTGGAGATGGACTGAGGGAAAATAAAGTCAACACAACACAGCAGTGTGCTCTTGAAATGGAAATTCTGTAGAAAACATATATAAAACCAAGATTTAAAGGGGTAGAACATCAAGAGATTTGTGAAGAGCCTGAAGAGATAGAAACTGACATTGCTGAGGAAGGAAGCTTTGTTATTTAGGTTGTATGGGAGCTCCATGGTTACTTAGGAACCCTTGGCAGTGGGAGTGATTTCTTCCATAGCCCTATTTCAATTTGTTGTCTACTGAAAGAAATAAAATACCAGATGCTGGACTGCAGAGAACAACATGCTATGAGCAGGTTAGATCACCTCATTAGGACTGGAGGCTTGAAAACAGACACTCTACATTAATGAGAAGCTGATTTATCCAGATGATGGAGTCACAACTTTGAAGTTCTCATAATGATTCAGCCTAAATTTGAAGATGTAAAATTGTTACACTAGTGGCACTGCTCTCCTTGAGTAAAACAAATGTATGGTATGTATAACTTGTAGTACCTGTGACTGAAAACATGAAAAGGCCATTTGAATAGCATGAGATCTCCACTGTTGCTGTGGTGTCTAGCATGTTTCCATATTTTTGCAGCAGGAAATAAGAAGTTAAGGAAGAAACTTGGGAGCACTTTTTTTCTACAGTCTCTGTTACTTTTAATTTTATCTGTTTCTTCTCCATTTCCTATGCATCTTTGCTATGTTCCACATCAAAACCTAATAATTTTTGGAGTTGAATTAACTTTATACAAGTGTAGACTAAATTACTGAAGGATTTTCACATTTATTGGTCTTAATAATGCATCATTATGAAGATGACTCTTCACTCTTGAAGGACATATCTTTGAATTCAGAAGTGCAGTCAAAGCCAATCAGGGACCCAAAAGTATTGATATAGTTTATTTTAAGAAGGCAGATACTTTTATGGACTGTAGAGTATCACAGGGAGGGACTGAACTACAGCTCAGATAACTCCTTATGTGGTTCCAGCTGGATGTGCCCATGACAGACACCAAGCTGATTATTTGTCCCCATCTGTGGCACAGAAGAGTTAGTCCCCTGCAATGTGGTTCTTGTCTTCTTCAAAGTTTTATTATGTTTGTCAGCTGTCATGTCATTTTGTCTTTGTCACTTTCTGTCACAAGTTTCCATAGCAGAGATTAAAGGTGTTGTTCTGGCCTTCACCTGCATCTCCATTTACTTTGGGATTTGTTTTATTCGGTCACACATATGTAATCCACAGGCAAGCAGCCCCACCTTCTGAAGTTTACTCTTACTTTTCCTGAACTTTGCAAAATCTGGAGGTTCTGGGTCACATTCCTTTTCTTGCTTTGGGAAGTTAGCAACAGACAGATTGTTCAGGAGAGCTCATGCTACAGGATAAGACTCTTCATTCATGCATGGACTACTAAGTTCAGTGCAAGTCTCTGAGTTTCTTAAGGGCATTTGTGAGGAAATTATTCAAACACTAATTCTGCCAAAGCAGAAAATCAATTGGTGTTGGTGATTGTAGGAACAACTGGTTACACAGACCCCTGAAGTTAGTTTCTGGCAAGACATCTGTTTTCCAGCACCTGAAATGTGCTCTCACAATCAGGTGAGAAGGATGATACTGGAGTCTAACAAAACTGGTACGTTGCCAATAGGCTCATGTGACCTGAAGCATCAGTGCTACCAGCTGATTATTTTGGCTAAGAAGAGCAGCTTTGTGCTGGAATCTTTATCTGTCACCAGGATACCACTGAAAAGACTTCAGCTGACACAGTGATACCTTCCTTCAAGCAGTCCTTAGATAAGGATGGCTCTCTGTGACTGGAAAAGTTGTAAGTTTTCCCCCACGCACCAGTGGTCACCTCACAGGCCCTGACACACCCCCTTAAACAACAGTGATGGTTGTCAACTGCTGCATTTGGACAAACATACAACATACACAGATGTTCTGAGCTCATAATACCACATTAAAATGTATATCAAAGCTCTGGAAGACATCTCTGACTTTGGAAAGCACTAACACTGGTATTACCCTTGAGGAACAAAGCAAGGCAAAACACCTTGCCAGGCACAGACAAGCTGAGAAAGCAATGTTGTTAAAACATACATTACTTACTACTTACCTTAGACATCTGTTTGCACAACATGTATCAAATTTGCTGTACATCACTACTGTTACTCTCCTGCAAGTATCAAGCCTACAAGCCGTGAGGAACACACTGGTGCATTTTTTTGCATCTGCTGATTGATGCCTTACAAGGCTGAATGCACACAATCTCTCTCAGAAATTCTTACCTGGCTTGTGTTCACCTCCCTACCTCAGCCACAGCCCAGAGACATAACTCAGAGCAGGGCACACAGGGACACTGGATGAAGTCTGCATGATTAGATGCTAATGCTTCTCCTTTTCAGACAGTATCTGAGTTTCAGAGTGCCCACCTAGATTTTGGTTACTTATCTATGCAGAACTACTCTTCTGCCCACACAACCTCTGTGAAGCAAAGGATTTTAATTTCTACTTATTTCTTCTTGGGCCTTTCTCCTCGGTTGGATGCTCCTTCTTTTACTTCACTGTCTTCACTCCAAGCCTACCAGATGGCATATTTATGCTCACAATTGCAGCATCACTGCAGATCACTCTCTTTTATTTATTTTTTTTTTGTTTTGTTTATAAATCCCACTTCTCTCTAGCGTGGCTACATGCTCTTGTACTTCTCTTCCTGGCATTGACTGTGTCCACTACGACACAGAATTTTGCCAAATTCTTCTCAAATCTTTATTTTCAGGAAGATGTTTGACAAGGGATGCTCAAAACATCATTTCTCCTCTTAGCATGCACTAACAAAGCTTTGCCAAAACCATAAAATATTTTGGGTGTCATCAAACAATTATTTTAAGTCCAGCCCTGTCTGATTTCTGGTTTCAGTGAGGTATCACTGGATGAGAAAGCCAAATGGAAGAAAACAAAGCAAAGGAGCTGTTCCTGTTTGCCACTGCCTTCCCTTTCACAATTTCTCCCTTATTTTGTGTCTCGTAACACAAGGAAATTAGAAAATTACACTTATGCACCTACTTTGTATTCTGGGGGTATTCTTGCTCCAAATCCAAAGGCTGGGAACATTTTGTCACTGGAAAAGAATGAAAAAAATATAAGAATACCCATAGAGAAATATTGTTACAATAAACATTCCTCTGTATGCATTCATGAGAAATGCAAAGCCTCACAACAGCACAGAAGTGGCTTTTAAGTCAAGTGATGGCAGAGTGGAAGGGTACTGGATTGAAGAAGTAGGGTTGTGTGCTGAACAGATTAGGGGGAGTGTGTTATGGAAGATTTTTCAGGTGTTTTGGGCAGTTAAAATCACTTGGAGAATCCTGAGAGATCAGGATGTCTTGTATTTCCCCAAATGTAATAACCAGTTTGTATTACCCACTCATTTGCATTACCTGGCTGAAACAAGAGTTTGTTGACTGAACAGCCTGTAACAACATTTATTTCATATAAATAGGGATGTGCTCCCCCAGGTCAGAAAATGGGTCTAGAGAAGATATGACTCAGATTAAAAGTGTTTACAAATTTGGGTTCTTACAGTTGTCCAGTTACTCAAAAGAGACTTCCTAAAGTATCTGAAAGGGGCAATTTCATGGTCCCAAACCTGCAGGTTGTGTAAAGCTTTCCACCTGCATCTTTAGTAGCTCCTCTAAAATATGAGATTATTTCAAATAGGCATAGATTGACTGATAACCTGCCAAAATGCCTTGGCATGGTCAGTTTGCTTTCAGACACTACAGTGAGGTTATTTTACCCCAGTTAGACATGGAAGAGAAAAAATACCTGATTTGGAGAACCTGGAAACTTCAAGACTGATAATACCCTTTCAGAAATGCAATAAAGTCTCACACAGCCCACATGCTGTCAAGCTGCCTCTTCCCAGATGGCAAAGTGGAAAAACAACAAGCTGCAAGGAATGTCTTGTCCCTGAGTCAGCAAAGCACTTGATCATACACTTGAGGTTAACATTCACTCAAACATATGCTTAATTCCAGACATATCCTGAAGTCTCACTGATGTCACTGAACTGTACTCCAGTCCTCTGATGAATCAGACTAGGTTTACCCTAGACTACTTAGAGGGTTTCACAGCCGTTGGAAGAGTTGAGTTCCAACTATCACGATTGGAACTTTTAAAAATTCCCAGGAGAGGCTAGCAGCTTCAATATTTTTGGTGTAGTTCAAGAGATGGCCACTCCAAGTATCAACTGAATAATTCATATCCCAGACATACTCCAAAAAAAATAATAGCACCCATTAAAGCTGCTCAGTTCTTCTGTCTGGCATAGGCTGTTAAAGGCATCATGATATTTCTGATACAACCTAAGGAAAAACTTAAAAGAAAGCAGAACTGTATCCCCTCTGCTGCATAAATTTCGGGAGCACAGTTCTGTGGACCATACGTTACACCATGTGACAATGGATCTTGGAAAGGAAGACTAACATCATTTGCATGGTAATGAAACATTTTTTTCCCAAGAGATGTCAGAAACGAAGTAGCTGCTGACATTCTATGCTAACCACCTGCTGACAGCATTCCCTTTCATTAAACACTTCTGGAAGCGGGAAAGCCCTTACAAATGGATGCAGGGAATTCAGGCACACATTTTGAGGGTAAGAAATAAGAAACCATTAGAAAGGAATCTGAGAGGGGAAAAAAAAAATCTTGTTTTACATCAATGATTAAGCATGGCTGGATTAGAAAATCAAATTCTTGTGGAGCTGCAGTTAGTTGATTTGGGGCAAGAACAAACAAAATAATTTTACTTAGAATTTTACTTAGGTAGAACATAAGTGTCTAAGTTCAACGTTAGCAGCAGTTATACAACTGGGAGATGCCTGAACCCATCCAGTGCCTGAATTCTACTGCAGTTTTTCTGGAGTGTAAACAAGTGTAGGCACTCTTGTATCTGCAGCTCCTGCTTCTGCTCTGCAGCAATTCAGAGACAGCAATAAGTCATACCTCCAGCAGCTTGGATTCTCCTTCTGGTGGCGAGACTCCCACATTCCCAGTCACACAGTGGCACAGCCCCCACTGTTATTCTGCACCCAGAATACCTTACCTCCACAGTCAGGACACTTGTCTTTATGTTTGAACCTCCCACATCTCCTTTTTGAGTAAGTGCAACCATTACATTGTGAAAGAGTGAAGCAGCATCATGTACCCCCTCAGGATGGGGCTCCATATGGCTGTTTTTTAGAGTGTCCTGGGGTCTTCTGTGCTTAGTACTTTCTGTTGTCTCAGCCAGAATAGCTCCACACTCTCATTAGGTAGCTAACCAGAATTTAGGTCCATACCTCTGGTAATCTGATTCAAGCTGCTGGGACCAAGAAATTAACTCTCATGTGCTATTGGAGCTTGATTTTTAAGGTAAGAAGGGAAACTTCTGACATTCATGACATCCCTTACATAAAAAAGGACATCATGTCATCCCCTGGCCACACCTCAAAAATTGCAGCTGATAGCTTTCAGAATAAAAATAAAATTTATATGCACGTATTTAAATGTACTCCCATTTTTCTTCTATCACAAAACAAGGTGTTTAGCTATATTAACTATTTAGTAAATGACAGTTTAATGGCTTAGTGGTGTTTTACAATATAACCCCCTCTACTCTTCCCATCCACCCTTCACTTGATCATATGTGAAACAAATCCAACAGCTGAGCCTGCTGCCCTCATTCTGCTTGTCCTGCACTACTGAGACACAGCAGGGAAAAAGTGACCCAGAAGGGCAGACAAGAACTCTCTCACTTGCAGGATAATCCTTTTATGGTGTGACAGCTGCTCTAAAAGATCCAGGGCTATCAGGGCAGCATGCAGGAGAAAGCAGAGCAGCTTCCCAGCTTCTCTGGGAAGCTATGTCAAGGGTTAGGCCATTCAGGGACTTAAACTATAGTCAGAAAATGAAAAGAAGGTTTTCTCCTGCCTCAAGGGTGAATCACATGCATCAGAGACTCCAGCCCTGTTTCCCAGCCTGGCATTTCAGTAGGAAAGGGATCTGCTCTAATGATTTTTCTTTGTAATTTAAACTCACTCGAAAGAAGAAAAGTGAGAACCAGTTTTCTTTTTCTTCATAGTGCTTGCTCAGACATTTGGGTGTCATTAACAGCAGGAAATAGGCCTGTGACCGTGGCTGAAGCAATGGGACATAGCCACAGACATGATCTGTGAGCACCCTCCCTGGTGCAGCACTGGCTCCTGCCAACCAGCACCCCCAGAGACCTCCCGGGGTCAGCGATGGGTCTGATGCTCAGACCAAACCTCAGGGTTTGGCTTTTGTATTTTTCAGATTCTGTGCTGCTTTGGTGTGTAGTTCTGAGCTTCATGTTGGGGGATGGTAAGCTCTCCTTGCAGAGAAGACAAAGCAATTCCTTCTCTAGCTTGGGACCAAGGACAGCTGATCCGAATCTCAGGCCCAAGATCATAAACAATGGTAGACTGAAGAGAGAAAGACAAGAATGATGGGACTTCATAATCTAAAGCTGTAATTGGACAATTAACTCCAATATGCTAATGGACCAGAACTTATCCAAGTGATAGACCTCATGACCCATCGTCCATTTTGTGACCATTTTGGGTTCATCTTGGGTGTAGCCCTGGCTGGGCTCTTGTACTGCCCAAGGTGTATCCATGGAGGCGTTTTGATAAATACCTAGGTTATTCTTTAACTCTGTCCAGCCTCTGTTCTAGGTCAGCCTTCAGAAGGCATCAGGTCCAGCTGTGCCTGACACTGCTCCCAAATGCAGTTTGGGCATCACCAGTTTGTGCTGGAAGGAGGAAAGCAGAAACACAAGGACGTGGGCAGTGTCATGTCCTTGGCCTCAGTTAACCTTTGACTTGTTTTGTTTAAAACTGGCCAGAGTATCCTTAGCACACAAAAGGAAACTGCCTGCACTGTCCTGCTGAAGGCAGATTGATAAAGGGAAAGGATTGGAGAGAAACATGCAACTGGAAAAAAAGTTGGTTCTATAGAATCTGAAACTTACAGAATGGAGTAAGAAAAAGAGGACTGTGACTTGGCAGAATGTTTACAAAATTACTCCATCGCGTCTAATTCACCTTTTATATTTTCTTTGTTTTGCACAGGTTCCCTTGAAAATTTAAATGTGGTATAACTTTCAAGAAGATTAAGTACTTGACATGAAGATCAAAAAAGCAAAAGCATCAGACTCTGAATTTTATACCTGGTTATTTAAGGACCATGAGTAGTCATGCAAGCATAGATGTGTATGACTTCTGGTACTTTTTCAGTCAAACATGAATATATTACTGAAAGATACCCAAGACCGAGCAGATCTATGTTATACCCTGAAAGAAAAATCAGGGAGAGGATTCAGGTTCAGTGTTCATATTGATCAATATAAATTAATGCACACAGAAATTAATTGTCAGGGCTCCAAGGCTGCAGTCTTCTGAACAGAAATACAACCAGAAAAAAGTTTGTCAGTAGCCTCAACTAAAACATAACACGATAGCAGAAAATAATATCTGAAAATATCCTATATTTTCCTTTTGGGATATTGCTCAGTTTTAAACACCCATCCTTTAAGCTACCTACTGGAAGCAGAGCAAGAGCAATGACAAATCAAAACACTAACAGGAGCAGAGAGAAGAGAGATTTCAGTGAGCTGTACTGCACCTACAGGAAAAGAGATGAATAGAGGTAATACTCTGGTTTTGTAAATTGGTAAAAGTGACACAGATAATGATCCTATTTTCTATTTCACTGGGAAGCCTAGTGCTACTGTAAGGAAAGAAATATGCTTATTATAAAGAGACAAAATAAAGAACATTTCAAAATCCTGTCTCATTAAGCACTGGTGCCTTCTGACATGGAGTATCACTGAAACCAGGATATTACATTTATTCTGAAAAAGATTTGCTATTCCCATTAATGAGAGGGAGAAAACTCTTCCACTAGGTAAAATTAATTAGTCAGGCATTAAAGACATTTTGCAACCTCCTCAGAAGCCTCAGGGACAGATGATGCTTGAGCTATTCAGCAGTGCAGCAATACCTGTATTCAAAAAGGTTGCCAGGACTATGCTCTCTGAAAATCAGTTGCTTTTAAAGA